ATAAAATAAAAAGTTTGATATATAGAGACTATTTCCGATTAATTTTAATAATTCTTAAGTGGTCCTTCATTTATTGGAGGGCACTGTATATGAATAAATATATACAAATTTATCTCTTTTTATATATTTAATTAAACATACTAAGAAAATCTATTTTGTAGCTTATTTTAAATATTGGCATATATTTACTATTTGTTAAGACTTTACTTGTCTTATAAAAATTTTGGTTTAAAAATATAGACTATATTTCAGTTAATCCAATATTAGTTAAAGTATTTTATAATTACATTTATTTTTGAAATGAGTACTTTCAATATTTTTTATTCTTTTATTTATTTTTTATACTTTTTTTTTCTTGATTATATTTGATTCCTTTTTATTATAATGATAGACATTGTTGATTTTATTTTTCTTGTAAGTTAATAAAAAAAAGTTAATAATCTAATTTTATATTACTTGAATAAAAATTCTATTAAATTAACTTTTTATCAGGATTAAGCTTTACAAAAGATATTCTCAACCCTATGATAATATTTTTTGTCTATATATAATATATTTTTTTGTTATTACAATCTTTTTATACTAAGAAAAAAATAATTTAAACTTGAAACTTTTATATTAACTAATATTCTGAAAAAAAATTTTAACTTATATAAAGCCAATCACTTCTTTACAATCATTCGGTCTAACAGTATACTTCTTAATTTGTTCTTAGGAAAATTCATAAATTCTTTAATATTCTTTTAAAAAAAAAAGAAAATTTCAAACTATATTCTCAAAATATTATACAAAATTTGGAAACAATGTTCAGTAATAGTCACAACCATACATGTGGTAAAATTTAATTCTAACATTTTCAAAATTGTATTATTATTAAAAACATAGTAAATTAATCGGAAATTGTATTATTATATAAGATCAACAATACTATCATATGTATAGTCACAACATTAATATTATCAGAAATTTAATAAAAAAAACCAAACAAACTGGTTTTATTAATATTAACCAACAAATTTTAAAAATTATCAATACCTTAGAACCTAACTAATAAATAAATTATTACTCCAATCTTTTGAAACTCGAAAAAATTTAATTTTAATCATAAGTTTGCACATAATAGAATCGAGATAAAAAAACTCTCAATGATGTGAAAGCTGAAATATTCTAGATTGTATTTTTAATATTCTCACATTTATTTTATTGATATCGGAAATTATTATTAAGACAGAGATTTAAAACATATACTTATGGAAGGTATAAATGAACTTATACTTGCTAGCATGTTTCATTTCACATAAATCACAATGGGTGTATTTACTTGTCTTTAACAAATCATTTGCCTTTTCTATATTTTTCTTAATTCCTTTCCCTTCTCTGTAACAACGGCTCAAACAAATCTGGGCCTTAAAATTTTTCTTAGCAGATATCTGATACCAATCTACTGCGCTTGTTTTATCTTTGTTCCCACAGAGTCCTTTAAACATAAATGTGCCGATTTTAAATTGTGCTTCCGCATTTCCTTCATCTGCAGATTTTTGATAGTTTTCTAAGGATTTTTTATAATCCTTACCTACTCCATAACCCTTTTCATAACATAGCCCAACGAAGAAATGTCCAAGTGCGTCGTTATTCATCCGAGATGCATTATAGTAATATGCGTATGCCTCTCCGAAATCTTTATACTCGTATGCATTAAAAAATCCCACTAGGCAATCATAATTTTTCCGATTTTTCAAAAGTAATAGAACATTTGTCAATTCCTCATCTTTTGATTTTATTATTTTTTTAAGATCATTGCAAACTATTAAGTTTGGCACACCATGAACAATCTTTTTTACAAAAGTCTCGTACAGATCTCTTATAAAATTTTCTTTTATATCCGTAGTATTTGCTGGACTTTGTATTATGGCGACTGAGTTTTCGACTTCATTGGTTGTGACTGGCCCAATATCTTCAGTAGTTTGCGTCGAAAATGTTGCTCCCTCAATTATTGTGACCGGCTCGATATTTTCAGGAGAGTGTGACAAGAAAGTTACCTCATTGCTAAGACCCGAATGCGCAGAAGAATCCTCTTCACTTGAATGTGTAGAAGAGGCCTCACTATTGTTGTTTTCAATGACATCAAGTGAAAATCCTTCTGAAACATCTTCCATCATATTGTCTACAGATAGAAAATCTTCCATTGTACCATTTGAATGTAAAATATTATGGTATGATTCGTCACTACTGGCCGACAATGTTGAGTTGTTTGAATTAGCAAACGCTTCTGGGTTACCTATCTCTTCGTGTATTTGATGTATAACCAAATTCAAATTTATATTCTGTAAACTCGCAACTACGTCTTGAATTTCAGGTCTTCTCTCTGGTTTTAAATCCCAACATTTTTCGTAAAGAAGCATGTACCGCACAGGTGTATCGAGTATCGGAGTTTCTCTTATGCTATTGTAGATTATAATACCATTCAATGTTTTATCTGGATCCGGAGGTTTTCCACTAGATATTTCCCAAAGTAATACGCCAAGACTGAAAATATCGGAAGCTTCAGTCTTCTCGTAATTTGAATCAATAAGACACTGAGGGTCAACATAAGAATGAATGCCATATACGTCGCCGTCTCTTGAAGATTTTTGGTTCATCATGTTCTTAGATAAGCCGAAGTCCGATATTTTAAATATCCCATTACTAAATAGTATATTTCCAGAGTGCTGAACGTTAAATTGAGCTTTAGTGATTATTTCAAAAAAAAAAAAATAATAATAATCAAAACCGAATAATTACCAGATCCCGATGAACAATTTTATTTCGGTGAAGATGTTCTATACCAAATGTGATTTGCTTGGCACAATTTATTTTGCATTGCCAATTCATATTTTCAAAATTGTCTCTCAAATACTCTCTAAGTGTGCCTTCTGCATATTCAAGAACAATTACAGATTCATATTTCTCTACGTACAAGTTAATAATTAAACGATTGTTATTATATTGAATTTTATACAGGAATTCTCTAACCTTAAAGAGAGCTAACTTACTTTTATAGTAGCTGATGCCATAAATTTTTAAAATATTTTCATGGGAACTTAATTTTATGTGTATATTGAGCTAAAATCACGGAAAACAGATGAGTTCTGTTTTATTATTATATCACCATTTTCTTTCATATTGTGGTCTTACCTCACGAATAAAGTCATCTATTTTTTTAAAATATTCCCCCTTAATTACTTTTAATGCAACAATGCTATTAAAATCAGAACATTCGGCTTTGTAAACGACGGAAAAGCCTCCTTTATTAATGCGAGTTATCCCATGAAATTTCGAGTAGCTATAGTAGTTCACAACATTCTTTTTTAGTTTTTTTCGGACTTGTTTGCGCCAATCCGTAGAATTTTCAAAGTCTACTTTATCCTCTGGCATCATTTGGGAGGAAATCTAATTCAAAGCTCTTTATTTTAATGGTGTGATGCTGTATAGTCAATTGGAGAATCTGTGTTACTATTTATTGCATGTACACTTACGATGTAACTAATACTGTAACAAAGAACTTAATTTGTACGCGCAAAGAAATTCTTGTATTTGATTATTTGGTGGGATCGAAATTCTTTGAAGGTGCCAAAAATGCTAAATAATATTTGTCGGTCCCCATTTTTAAACAATATGAATAGTGTACACTGTACAATGTAAACTTTAGGAATTCCATTACACCACCGAAAAATCACTGTCCGCCTTCAAGAATAATTTATTTGAAAAGCAGAAATTCACATGTACGTAACACGAAGAATTTGATTTTTTATGATAAAACTGTGGTCGTCCATTCTGTACATACTGTATGTAATAATCAAACATGCCTTGAACAGAACATTAGATGTGCAAATAGAATTGTATTTTTTACGGTGATGCCAATTAGCAAGAAATAATTATATCTACCAAGTATACTATGAGCAAAACCTTTTTATTTACATTTCACAGCTTCTTTATTTACATTTAAGAAAGAAAACCCATATGCGTATATGGCATATTTTAATTGAAAAGTTCACATTTAATGAAAGTAAAATGATGCAATGCGCAAAAAATTAAATCGAACTATTCAAAGAATACAAATAAGTTTACAGTATCAGATGTTCTTAAAATATTTATTTACAGTGTTACAAAGTTAGAATTATATAGTAGTACGACATTGTTTCAAAAACCTTGAATTATATTGTAGTACGACATTGTTTCAAAAACCTTGAATTGCCAAGAAATTTAATATCAAAGCTTGTGTTATCTGACGCAGAAAAGACAAAAACGAACTTGTGCCGTAGTTACACGTGTATAATATAATTTATAAGTGTAACTGACATCGGGACTTGGCTAGCGAGATTAAAGAGTAAATAAAACAAACGTTTGCCAAATATGGCTAATTCTTTTTGAAGGTCAACATAAAAAATTTCGGACCCTAAAATTACGATGATTGTCCCCTAAATTTTTATTATATAACGGTAATCTCACATATTTTTTAGAGATACTGTACAGTATAAAGAATAAAATATATAAAAACTTTTCGTTAAATAATTTTATATTTAGCTAAAAATTGTTTTTTATATAAAAATATTTTTCTTATAATAAATAAAAAAATTACAATTCTAAACTATTATTTCTTTTTAATTATATTTAATAATGATATTTAATGTATTAAAATTTTTTTTTACATAAAAAAATTATTTATTTAATGAAAAATAGTTAATTTGATATTTTTTGAATTTTTATAACAATTGTTATAATAAAATTTGCAAATCTTTGTTTTTTTCTATGTTGTATATCTATTTTATCTGTTTGGTAAATTATTATTATTATTTCAAAAAACTAAATTTAACAGAATTACATAAAATTGTATGAGGTTTAGAACACTATTAAAATTAATGGTAGAATATATTCCATCTATTTAATTTAATATAAACTTGAGAATAAAATACAGAATTAAAGCAAATTATTAGAATCCTTAGTTTATATACTTTACTTTGTGTTTATGAACTTATTTACTTTACTATATATTTTATAAACCTATTCATTTTACTTAATTTTTCATAATTTTATTCATTTTGATTCACATTTTCCAACCCAACTATTTCACCTATGAACCTACAAAAATAATTGTATTACAGATCAATTTTTATATTAAAACATAACAAAATTGAAAAAAAGTAAAAATATATATATATATAATGGCACACAAAAATTTTTTGGAACATTAATTTAAAAATATAAATAATTTAAACATAAATCTTTTAGTATTGATAAATAATTTAATTTAAATGTTTTTTATATTAATTAATGATATTGTTTAAATATTATATATATATTAATGTCATATTTCAAAAATATAGTATACAGTATTATTTTTATATTATTTATTATGAAAAAACACACAAAAACATATTACATGAAATTTTTAATTGAAAATAATTATTTAAAATAATAATAATAATATAATTCATAAACTAATTATAGGTTTTATAGTTTTCATGTATTTTTTTTTATTAAGTTTAAATAATTTTTTATTGAATTAAATACATTGAGAAAAATTCAAAATAGCTTTGAATATCAATGTAACTTTCATAAGAATTTTTAATTTTTTTTTCTCAATTAAAATATTTTTTTATAGAATTTAAAAAATCAGAAAAAAATTCATAGTAAACTATAACTGATGAACTTAATCTGTGATGCAATACTTTTGATCGTGATTTGCCAATTTACCCACTTTACCTCACGTTTTGCGAATCCGCTCATTCAACCTCTCGTTTCACAAACCTATTCATTCCACTTCACATTTCGCGAATCCATTTACTCCACTTTACATGTCGCAAACCACCCATTCCACTTCACGTTTTGCAAAACCATCTGCACCATCTCACGTTTTGGGAACCTACTCATTCTACTCAAATCCATTCACTCCACCTACTCTTTCCACTTTACGTTTTGTAAACTTTCCATTTTCACTTCAAGCCCAGAGAACTTATTCGTTTCACCTCACGTTTTGCAAACTTACCTTTCCACTTCACATTTCACGAAACCATTCACTTTACCTTACGTTCACAAATCTATCCACATCACTTTACGTTTTATAAACCTATTCACCTTACTTCACATTTTTCCAACCAATTTACTCCAGCTCACGTTCCGCAAACCAATTCACCTAGCTCCTATTTTGTGAATCCAGTCATTCACTTCATGAACGTGTAAGAATCATCGATACTATGCTTTATTCCAGGTTTTTTATATACCCGAAATAAAATCCGAAATTTTATTTTAAAAGATACAGTACAGTATACTGTAATACGTACATAAATTGATAATCAAAATTGTGGGCCCAGATCCTCACCCCAAAAGATACTAGCGTTTTTGCAAACGTGAAAGTACTACAGTACTGTATTCACTCAAGTAAATACAAGCAACCGATGTTGTTATAGATGCTCTGTAAACGAAAAAAAAATTCACGAGAAAAAAATTTCATATTTCCAATAAAATAATTATATATACGTAATATTTAAGGTCTTTCAAACCTTTTCTTTATCGAACAGTAATAATAAAATTAATTTTATCTACTAACACAGCACAGAATGCAATTTTTTCTAAATATATACCTTATTTTATCATTATTAACGAATAATCTCAATGCATTCACTCCAATAGCACGAGACCTCTTATCTACCATTAAGGTTGATGATAAAGTCTACTTTCATGGTGGATACAACGATTCTTCCCCTAATATTACTGCCACTGAATTTTTTTATCTCGATATCTCCGCTCCCTTCAATGTTAACGATAAACGAACAATTCCATGGGTTAATCTTTCTAATATTACTGGTTCTCCTGCAAAACACGGTCATACAGCTTGTGTTGGAGGTACCAAAAAAAGTTCTATCTTCTTTATAGGGAATGTACGAGATGTTCCGCCATTTGTCGCTCAATTTGATTTGACTAGGCAAAAGTGGATAACTTCTACTAATGAGAGCACTGTTTCTCTACATATAAATCGTACACAATGCGTCACGTCTGGGGACGGAATCATTTACTTTTTGAATGGCCTAACGACAAATAATTTAGTTAATTTTAACACCATTAATTTTACGTGGACCTTTATTCCCGTAACAGTTGAAAATAGAACTATGTATTATTGTAGTACGACAATGATGCCAGACGGAGTGATTATATTTATTGGTGGTAGATATGTGGATAATAATTCATTCGTATCTTTAGAAAAGGTACATAGAATCACTAATTGAGGAGTTAATAATTAATGTTAACTTACATAGTTAATTTAAACAGTTTACCACTTATAACACAACTTCAGCATCATGGGGTTTTATTGTGAGCTTTATCTTTGTTTTGAAAAGACGGTATCAATAACAAATACTTCACTAACCTTATCATATGATGAATATGCATACTATATTCTAATTAGATTCCATCTGGATTCGGTCCATCTACTTGTTTTCCTGAAGGTTCGGTCCTAAGTAAGTTTTGTTTAATTATGTTCCCTCTCGAGAGTTTGAAAATTAACATCTTCCATTAACATTTATATCATAGCAAATTATGGTCATATCTTGATATTTGGGTGTGGTGAAGCATTTAACATATCAGTCGTAGACACCACAAATAACTATACATGGATAGCGCCTATCATTACAAATGATTATATACCAAAGAATTTGATGAGTTATAGCCTCACTTTAATCGGAGATTATGTTCTAATGGCTTTTGGTATGATTTAATATCGAACATTATGTTTTTTGAATAACATTTTCTTATTTATCATTTATTCTTGCTATTTTGAAAAATCGTTGCTTCAAAATAATTTTAAAACAGGTTTTCTTTACACAGATATTATTCTCGATAGAGGATCTCAATCAGATAGCATTTACATCCTCAATGTAAGTCAAAAGAATAATTATACATGGATCACTTCGCTTGGTCAAAATTCCACTGCCTTTCCATCATCGACACCAAATACTACAGAAAACACATCACTTGTTATTGATGTTTCTATTGGTGTGGTTGGCGGGATTTTTATTGTGATTGCCGGTATAGCGGGTATTTTTTGCTATAAAAAATTCAAAATAAATCGTTAATCTTTATGCAGATCAGATACTTCTCATTTATACTCTCGAATAAGTCAAAGTAATTACTCATTGATACTTCACCCGGCCAACACCTAATGATTATGGCAGCCTATGCTTATTATTAGAGTATCTATGATTTTGTGGGATTTTATTGTTAGTCGCCTATTTAATGTCTGCTTTTTTACCATAAAATTATATAGATGAAATAATAAACCATCATAAAATATTCACAAAAAATTTACCATTTTAATTAATGCTTTTAGAACTAATTATAGTTTTTTTTTATATAAAAACAATTTTGAGAGCAATTAAACCTTAACAAATAATTTGTTTCATCACATTATAATAAATATATGTCTTCAACCACGACAGAAACCTAGTTGTATATCAATATGTTATTAACAAAAAAAACCTATTCCATAGTTAGCGACTCCAAAGTCCGAATATGTTGCAGGTAAAAAAGGGAGACACAACGCAATTTCGTGTCGCAGACTGAAGAATGATAAAACTCTTAAGTCGCTCGCAATATTCAATTACTAGACTTTGTAATAAGAAACCCGTTGCCATTACTTTGTGTAAAGACATTTGCAACATTGAGACGCAATAAAAAAGATCAACCAACCGTGTTGCAACACTCCGCAGTTAAAGCCGTATCTTATTTACGTAACAATCCAATCGTTCGGATTATCGTTGCGCAAAGAACAACCCAGTATAGCCGCCGACTCACCAATGCCGATAACAATATGTATTAATGGAAATGTGCCATTCTTACTACAGTATTCCTATCATTGTCAATATTTTCATTTATTTTAAGGTAAAATAATTTTTACCTTTTAGTGTCACCAAATCCTTAATTGAGAATTTTAAAGCAAAGGTAAAGTTAACCTAAATACATGTTGCTTAGTTAAATGCAGTGTAGGTGCGAGCACATTGCCACGTACGTTGCTTTGTTGTCGTGAATAAACAAAAATAATGTGGGAAAATAATGAATAAGAATTTAGTAAATGATTTATAATAGTAAATAATGTAAACATGTAATAGTAGGCGTGGTATAAATATATATGTCAAGAAGAGAGATTTGTGTTCGTGTTTTATTGTTAAATAACAATAAAGCTAAAATAAACTAGTTTTTTTTTCATACGTGCTTTCAATTTTATAACCTATATTACGTGATTAAACGAAAGAACAAAGCTTGCATAAGGAAACTGATACTGAGAAAGGGGATCAAAATATTAGATAGCAAAGCTAAATATAGAGGACCAGATCAAAACCTCCTCGATAGTAAAGCTTTTGATTACTTTTTTAATGGTACGTAACGTGACTTATTACAGAGGCTTCCAAAAAGAACACCTGTGCATAAATTTTTATTGCTTAATTATGGTGCAATAAATTAGTAATATCATATAATTACTAATCATTATTTATTATGAAAGTTTTTGTTTTTATACGGTGCCTAATAAAAATTACTTTGCATTATTTATGATTTTTGTTTAAAAATTGTAAACTTTATTTATTCTAATAATAAATAAATAAATATTTGGTATCTAATCTGTGAGTATGTTGATATGTTATAGTTGTAAATTACTTTTTTTTTGTTTTTGTTTTATGCAATCAAATTTTTATTCTTTACAAAAAATTCTTGTTATTGTAGTTTATATTTTTGTTTTTTAAATTATTTTTATATTGGAAAACATTTTTTTTAATTCTAAGCACGAAACAAAAATAAAAATTCTAATAATTTTAAAATTTTAAAATTTGACTTTGAAAGTAAATTCTTGAAATCTTTTATAAATACCATTCTAAAAATTCAAAAAATTATTATATATGGGTTTAATTTATATTAAAGAAAATAAATTACAAGTTTTTTGTATAATTTAATTAAGAAGATTTTACTGTAATTAAATAATATTTTGACTATACAATATAATTTTATATAAAATAATTGTAATTTAATATACTATTAACAAGAAAAAATTTTAAACATAATAATATGTTTTAATATTGCATACTTTGATCTAAATAATTAAAATTAATTGTTTATAATTTTATATAAAATAATAATATAATTATAAAAGTCCAAAATAATCTTTTTTTTTATTTTAGTATACTTTATTCATTATTATTGTTTATATAATTAAAAACATACTGTATATATGTATGTTGTAACTATGTATATTGTGTTATATCAAGATTACCAAATATTAGTCTTAAGCTATTTCATTTATTTCTTAATATGAATTGAAAAAAAATATCAAAAATTAATATATCAAAGTTTAATTAGTATTAATAAATAAGATATTTGAATAGTTATTGTAATTTGTATTTTACTTGTATTCTAAAAACTATTGCATTATTTTTTCTACTTATCTTTTTGCTTTTTCATTCTTTTTTGTCTTGTTTCTTTTACCTGTTCTTTTATTCTTCTAATCTTTTGTTCTCTTATTTTGTTTTATTTCATTGTTCTTGTGATTCTGTATTTGTTTTTTCATTCAATTGTTTTGTTATATTTTTCTTTCTATTATTCTCTCCTATTTTTTTCTATATGTTTGATAATTGCTTTATATGTTCTGTAACTTTGTTTCTAGTTCAATTTCAATATATTTGATAATATTCTTTGTGAATATTGCTTTTGCAATTAGGATTCTTGTATATTTTAAGTCACTAACTATATATATTTTGAATCTTGTCTTATTTTTTCACTTTTGTACTAATTTCTTATTTGATTATTTTATTGTATTCTTTTGTGATTTTCTCTCTTTAGTATTTATAAATTATATGATCTTATATCTTCTATTTATGGCACAATAAATATTTGATTTCTTTGAATATTTTAGATCTTTATATTCTTATTTTATTTTATATTGAAAGTGAAGCTTTCAATAACTTGTATTGAAGGCTTCTGCTCTTGTGATTCTATTAGTTTATATTTTTATTAACTATTGTGTTTTTTAATCAATATTCTTTTTTTGCCATTTATTATTTATGCCATATATTTGTATTGAATTACCTATCTTGTTATCTATTTTGCTTTTTTTTTAATTCCACTATTATGCTAGTATTATTTATTTAATTATCAAAACTGAACCATTACAAGTATAAAAATTCATATAAAGTGTAAATTTCCTTGACCTAGCTCATCTGTTAACAGCTGAAGCCTCAAATATGATTTATAGAAGTGAAATATTATTTTTTTGTTAGAAAGAATTATAATTTTAGTACTTCAATAGGATCAAATCTGCAGATCATCTCTACAGTCATAACTATAAACACAAATTATGTTACCTCTATCTTATAAAAACCACATAAAGAGAAAAGAAAATAAAAAAAGAATGGAAAGAAAAAACAGTACAATTGTATACATAAGAAGTTATTGAAAAAATGGAAAAAAGTTATTATTTATTCTAACAATCATTAAAAAGATTATCTCAGTGAACTTAAAACCCAAGTCCCTTATAATTTCTTATTTCTTACTACTTATAGTCTACCAAACTGTTTAATTTTCATTGAAGTGATCAATATTCAAAAATATTTAAAGGCACTTTTAGGAGAATATTTCTTGAAACTTTATGCTTGAAAATTTTTAACCAGAAAGAATATTAGTTTTCTATTGTTGATTTTTCTTCCAAGCTATGTTTTCTAGAATCATTGCTTTGCTTAACCAGTAAATAGTTTTAAGGCTTCTTTCTTCAATTATTTTTGAAATAAATATCAATACTTCAACTTGTTGCTAATTTGAAATAGAACCTAAATCTTGTTATTACTTTTTGTCCTCAAAAAGAATTAGGAAAAGAAAGGAAAAAAAAGTTGGTTCTCTTCTACTCACAATTTCTACTTCACTTGATATTTTCATATTATATCATCAATCAACTCTTTCAAAAACCAATTACATTAGCAATTTGGTATTGTGTAACTGGAAACATATAAGAAGTATATATCGTATTTACTTTTTATATAGCTAACGGAATCAACTAATCTGTGGCCCTAACTAATTATCTTTTGGAAGATTTAGTATAATCAAAAATTCAGGATCAAACTGAAGTAAGCAAAATTTCCAGAAAAATTGAAAAAAAAAAAAAGCATACTTGAGAAAGAAGATATAAGAAGTCAAAGAGATGATATGAAAACTGGAAACTTTTTTATTCTTGTTTTTCTGGATTTTTAAATTTCTTGAAAGTTTTTGATAAATATTTTTTCTTGTCAGTTTTTTTTCTAAAAAGATGTTCTCGCCATAGGTTTTCTAGGTAGGTTTCTTGTATTTAGTTACAAAAATAGATAAGAAAAGTTTTTTGAAAAAGAAAAATCAAACAAGTAATAGCAACACACATATTAGAATGGAGACAAATTAGAGCCATAGCAGGGAAGAAAGCAACAGGGCGCCAACCCAAATGGTTCACAGATATTAGAAAGCAACACTGCTACCCGAACTTGTCAATGAACAGATACAAATGTAACATCAATGGTCTCACACAACCCAACCCACTCCAACAACTGGAAACACTCGCAAACACTC